TTGATATCTCACTAGCCGACACCTGGCCTACTAGGCGCCATCCCCTCCCCCCCCCCCCCNCCCCCCGAAAACTCCGTCTTTTCACTCAATCATATCATCCGAATCCAACTGACGAATTGACTTTTGGAAACAATAGTTACTCACGAATTGCCGTGCATCACGTCATTTGTCAATTCTGTCAAGTTGGATTCGTTGATGTGAAAAGTTTAATTATTCCGCTGAGTTTGCTTTCTACCAGTTAAATTAACTTCCTACGGACGGGGAAAAAGGCGAGGATTGAAGGAGTGTTTTAGCGCTCGTTGTGCAGTAGAACAGGGTGGATTATTGCGGTGGCAGAATTTATGAATATGGAGGGATTGAAATTAAGCGTGAAACGAAATTGCCATTAATATTTATCGGAATATTTACCAGGCTGCAATTGTAATTCTGGATTTGCCTGGAATCGCTGAATAATAGAGAGCGCAATTTTTCGCCAGTCAGTGAAGCAGAACAAAATTGTGAGTTATGTTTCATCTTGTGGGTGAATCGAGTCTTCAATATTACTCCGTAAATGAACTGGAAAATGGGTCAGTGTGGTGCATCCGCAAATTGAACTATTTTATACGTGTTTATAGGAGACTCAGAATAGGAAAGCTTTCATAAAATGTAATACAATCACTGCACTATTGGAAAAAAATGAAATTTCATGGAGAGTTGACTACCAATTTTGAGGACAGTGACACTGAATGCGATTTAGGGGGAAAAAATCATGAAATTCAGGTTTCACTGAAAATTCAGTAAAATTCCAGAATTTTAAGGCGCACAAAGATGAAGATTCCTTAATTTATTTCAATTTATAATCTAATATGGATATTCGGTGCCAAATTACATTGAATTGTCAGCTATAATACCCCAAGACCTTTAAAATTATGGAATATTTCCTGAAGGTTTTGTTGTATAGCAAAGGGAGGGATCGGTTTTGCAGATTAAAATCCCGGATTTTATTGCAAAACTGATCCCGATCGTTGATATGCAGGAAAACTTGGGGGAAATAGCCTATGGATTTTGAAGGTCGAGGGGTAGTCGGAGGACAATTTCTTCAATTATGATTCTGGCCGATCAGGGTGCAGTGTTCGGAGTTACGGGACACATTTCATAAAAACGTGAGGAATATCTGTCAAATTCGTAGAAAACAATTGACAGGCTACAGGGAAATTATCAATCTGATAATTTCCCTTCAGCCGGGGAAATTATCAGTGTGAAAATCTTCAGTGAAATTTCATTTTAAGGGAAAAATGGAACTGAAATTGACAGTTCTCTTTGATTTTTCCACGAAATTCTTTGATTTTTCCAGGAAAATTGAACTATTTTATACGTGTTTATAGGAGACTCAGAATGGGAAAGCTTTGACAAGATGTAATACAATCACTGCACTGTTGGAAAAAAAATGAAATTTCATGGACAGTTCACTACCAATTTTCAGGACAGTCACACTGAATGCGATTTAGGGAAGAAAAATGATGAAATTTCAGGTTTAACTGAAAATTCAGTGAAATTCCAGAATGCTAAGGGGCATAAAGATGAGAATTCCTTAATTTATTTGAATTTGTACTCTAATATGAATTTTTAGTGTCAAATTTGCATTGAATTTTCAGTGAAATCTAAAATTTCATGATTTTTCTCCCTCTGAATCGCATTCAGTGTCTCTGTCCTGAAAATTCAAGAATATATTTACCAGAATTTTCTGGTTTTTTATTCATTCTCAGCGGAAAATTAAACAGAAATTTACAGTTCTGTTTGATTATTCGACGAAATTCTAAATTTTCAATGACAAGATTTCCTGAAATTTCAGGGGAATTGGAACACGATAAAAATTTCCGGCCTTTACCACGGAAAATTCAGACAAAATTTTTTAACAGTGTGTAGTGCACCAAGTAGATTCTGTCAGCAGATGTATTTCATACATCTGCATACGGAAACCCATAATTTCGTAGCCTTCACCATTAATTTTATCCTTTTTACTACAAAATATGGTTTTCCTCGGGTTTAATGGAACCCAAATTGTTTCAAATTGACCTTAGATTAAAATACAAAAGCGCTTTAGGGTTGAAAAATGTCATTCTAAATAGCTGCTGCATCAGAATCTACTCTCAAATTTAAAAATAATGTATGACGTTCTTTCGTGTGCCGTTATTGTTGAAACTTTAACCCGCGTGCATACACAAGCGAGAACAGCACATATGCAACTGCATAACTATATTTTTCATGGCTTATGAATAAATTATAATCTCATACTAGACTTTCAAACGGGCTCGGGGGTTAAAAGTCAAACGAAAGAGTTACTGGCTTTGTGGCTCACAGATGCCCGCTCAGCACTCGTTGAATATACAATGAAATACGCGGGGAGGGCAACGGATCGATGCACGATAGTTCAATGTTTATATTCTGTACAGTTTATATTCTGGCACGCATGAAAATACTTTTATATGATACGTGCGTGTAACCGCATG